TACTTTCCGAATATAATCGTAGACAACGCGATAAAATGTGGTTAGAAACGCATATCTGGCATGCAAAACGTTTTTACATGATTGACAAATGGGGATATAGAATTGCTAGTCATCCAAATGATAAATGTTTTAGAGCTAATTATCGAGCCGCTACAAAATATTGTCTCCTACAAGATATTTCTTACTATACTTGTATCGAAATAACAGGAGAAGAAAAATTATTAAAGACAACTTTGAAAACACATTGTAACACATCAATGTTAACTTTCACAGCGAAAAAATATATTAATGGCCATAGAGAAGGTACTTTAATGTTTTATAAGAAAAATGGTTATCCGCAATTTCCTATTGGTAATGTGGATTTTTTCTGGCAACCAAACAAATCAGATGTTCAAACAAATGTCAGGACTATTTGGATCTGGGTACATCCTGCTTTTTATGATGATTTTCTTAATGAAATTATATCAAGTTTTGAATTTAAGCAGAATAATATTGAACAAGATGTAGCTAGTACTATCCATAACTTAAACTATTTATACACGAATAATGTAGGTTGTACAATGATTATATTAAGAAATGCATTAAATAGATTTCGGCTTTGTGGAGCATTAACTCTAAATGTACTAACAAAAGCATTACATTTGCCATCCTTAAGTAAATTAGATTTTTGTACGGATAACACTATTTTAAAAGATAATGACAACTCATTAAGGAGTAAAATATCAATAGATAATGTGCAACCTACAGAGAAAAAAGTGATTGACAAAATAAATGAAGATATTATGATTTCTAAATATCTAAATACAGAACTTGGTAAAAATACATGGTATATTAATTACTATAAAAAAAAAGAAAATAAGGAGGCTTTCAAGGTGCAAGAACAATTATGGCAAATATTGATGTCCTTGGGATCACCAAATTATTTACCAACAAATATGATTATTGGAGTAACTATTTTAGATCCACGCTTCTATTTATCTGAGAAAAGAACAAAATGTAATACTGAAATAACAGAAACATTTTCTCGATCGATTCTAATTGATCGACTAGTAACTAATTCTAACTATTCTCCTATTTGGGATACAGAAATACGTCGTATTGTAAGCAGTTCTTGTATGCCTACAAACATTATTAACAAACTCAGAAGTGAATGTCTTGTGCCTGGTGTATCAAACGATCAATATTATACTGAAGACATTATGGCAAAGATACCTATACTTCTTATTCAGAAGCCGGGAACTATCACAGGTATTTAATTCTTGATATTCTTTGTAAGAATATATTAAGATAGACCATTTTAATTTCTATAATATCCAAATTATTTTGTAGGTATTTTTCTCTCATTTCAGAAAAAAAAATTTTAAATAAAAAGTTCACAAGTTTGGGATAGGAATATGATACAATTGGACAATAATTTTATATTACACGCATTTTTTGTGAAATTATTAATGTTATTCTAACTAAATACAAGAAGCACTATTTTCGGTCAAAGTTAGATGATAAACTAATACATATGACCATACTCGCGGCATAACGTCGTATTCTCAATAATTTAAATTCTCAAATATTAAATTCTTACCAGGAGATATGAAAATATTATTAACCGACTCATCTAATTATCTTCTAATCTACCTTTTTTTATATAATCCAATTATTGGATTATATATAACTTCATTAAATTATAAATTTAATTTAAACTTAATTAAATTTAAATGTAATCTTTATCGTATATGGTCGGGTCATTAGTGACCGAGCGATTCCTGTTTGTGCAAGTTTCTTTGAGTCTTTCAATAATTGTAAATTATACTACACTTTATTATTTTCCAAAAGTTTCAATATTTATTCTAGTAAATTAAAAGTATATTGGTGAATTTTTAGAGATTTTTTTAACCATTCTGAATAGGAGAAAAAAACGGATGGATTCTAGCGACCCATGTTTGGACGGATGAGGCATCAAATTACACACACATGCGCGCGCGCGCGTATGCATACAATTACATATAAATACGCGCGCGCGCGCGCGCGTGTGTGTGTGTGTACACAGTAAGTAAGAGCGTGGTTGACCAGCGTAGTGTTGCATCATTTCATGTTATTAGCCTTGAGATAGGTTCGAATAGTTTCTAAATTAGTTTAGATATGATATATCTAAACCTTTCTGCTTCAATTTTGCTTATTCTTGACTCAGTATTAAGCCAGGATTCCGCGAAAACAGATTCACTATTTTTTTATCGTCTTTTTTGTCCACTTTGCATATCGAGCCACATTCCGGTAAATCATCGACATTTTTTGCTACATTATATCGCTACACCCACTTCTGTACGAATGATTTCGACTTTTTCATATATTTAGCAGCCGCTAATTGTGACATTTTTGGGTGAGTGCAGAGGAACACAGCTTCATAGCGTGATGCATATTTGGTACTCATGGCGTTAAATGTGATTCTCTTAAAAAAGTTCAATGACAATTGAATCTTCCTTGATAGTGCATCAAGGATAAAGGTACCCTCTATGGATTCATGATAGATTTAGGGCGATATCTTTTATTAGCTTTGAGTAAGGCCGACCACGATCTTACTTGACTTACTGTGCGTGCGTGCGTGTGTGTGTGTGTGTGTGTGTGTGTGTGTGTGTGTGTGTGTGTGTACACACACACACACACGTATACATACATGTATGAAATACAAAAATACAAAATTAGATTATATATTTAAAAAGCTTATCCTACATATAATTTTATGCAATTTTTTAATTTTTAATTTTTTTCTTTGAATATCATTTATTAAGAATAATGCAATGACGTATGTTGACAGGTTTAGGTTCTGGCATAGATGTTATTATACCGGCCAGATGGGCAATGCCGTTTTGGCTTGCATTTTTAATGCAATGTGCAAGAGCAGGTGGACTTCAAGAATCAAGGTCAATAGCTTTTGAAAGTTTGAATCCAAATTCACCTGATGTCAATGATCCTGACAGTCCTGCCTACATGAGAGAAGCATTAATTACAAAGGAACAATTGACTAAAAAATATTTCCGTTACCCACCAAATAGAAGAATTAATTTTGTCAAGTTTGGAATTCGTAGTCCTTTCTTTTGCGATTGGAAAAATTTGATGAAAAACTGGTCGGGCAACGAAGATTTTTATGTTCTAAGAAATCGCGATATCTTGCTACTTTTACAAGCAGATATTTGTCCTGCCAAAAATAAAAATGCAAAATTTCTTGCTCGAAATACGCCATCTAATTTTCCAAATTTAGACGATTATAAAAATTGTTTAATACATGTTCGTATATCTATAGTGGGAAAAGGATCGCCAAAAAAATTTGCTATCATATGCATGCCGACATTCGAAGATTTGAACAAGATTGAAACTAATAAGAAATGGTTTGGACCTGTAGAAAAATGTCATAACGATCCAAATGAAAAAATTCGTAAAGCATTACGAAAAAATCATTTGATACTATTAAAACGACTAAGACGACAAAGAGTTCGACGGAAGCAAATATTGAAAAACAATGCGTTAAAGTTACTAAAAGAATCCGACAAGTTGAACGAAAATGGACATACAATCATTTCATCGCATCGTAAAATTATATCTGATCAACTGATAAAAATGTCTGAATTATATCTTCCAAAATGTGCAGAAGTTCGTCATTCTTGCGATAGAGAAGTTATGGGATATATAACACTAGGGGACTTTTCATTTAGTCAAGCAAAAGGTATTGGTATCGGATATATTACATTAATTTCATTACTTGGAATGATTAACAAAAAATCTAACATCGTTCTTGTCAGAAATCCTCAAACACGACAATACAGATTAGCAGAATTAAATATATTAGTTTGATATACAATGTATATTTTATTTACACTTATATACTTTATGCATACAATGTATAAAACATGATAGGCGCATACTCTTATAATTATTTATATGTTAATTATTGTATCTTCAAAATATATTTTCTATGAAATGTGTTATTTATATGTGTGCAAAGATTTTTTATTTTTATTTATTATCTTGATAAGAAATTTTTTGGAAGTCAGTGAAGGATGTATAGAGTGTCCCTGATCTACGAGATCGCCTCTCGTGAGTAAGTAAAACGGACTGAACAGAATCGAAAAATCTTTTATCATTTTCTAATTTTCTTTATGGGAAATATTAATTTCTAAAGATCACTAAATAAACACGTATCCGCGCGAACTATTGCGAACTATATATAAGTATATGCGCATCAGTCGCGGTCGCTTGTAGCACGAGAATTAGCGAATAGGCGCGCGCTAAGACCCGATTGCACTTATTTTGACTTTAAGCGAAGCTTAAAAATCTTTTTTTTTAAAGCCGATAGAGAGAAAGAGAGTTTTTTAAAGAGAGTTTCATGCTTAAAATTAAAATAACATTGATGCAATCGAGTCGAACAAGTTGTAAGTGTTATAAAGCTCCGTTTAGGGGTGCGTTGTGTTCCGAGTTACGCAATAACGCATAGACTACAGTGCACAGGCCATATTCTATGCACAGGTATATTACTGCCAGTTAACTGCCGTTATTGAAAATATCTATATTTCTCGTTACATATGCTATACTGTATTAACAACTAGCGATAATATTAGGTGTTGGAATTAATTCGTAGCGTTTTACAAGTGATGGGAAGTACTTTCATTAATGTATTTTTTAATGCTCATGTGAAATAAATAACATTCTTTCATTAAAAAACGCTACGAATTAATTCCAACACCTAATATATGAACACTATCATAGAAAATCGTTCCGATTTAATCAATGTCCGCATTGGAAGCACTTTGATAGCGCTGAGAATTTCCTAGATTGCACTATCCGTACCGAATTCTTAGCAATCTTTCCAGTGCATTGACTTCTTCTATTTTGACTTGAGGCAGTTGCATCTGATGCGTTCATGCAATCTATGCGCTTCGTGTGTAATACTCATGGTACTATGACCCTTAAATGTATCGGAAATCCTTTTAAGAGCTCTAAAGAAAATTTTCTTTTTAATATATCATTAAGATTTCTTTATTGAACAAAATCAGATGCAAAAGTCCAAAAAATTTGAATATTTGAGGGAGATATAGGCAATTGAAAAGTGACTGTGTCATTTGCACACTGCTGTGATTTTACCACGATTGTGGATGAACGAGTTAGAATTTTTCAATTTTTTTGTGTTACTTTGTTTATGAGATTCCTCTCTATAGATTGAACCTAAAATAGAAAAAAAATATCAAGATATAATATGCACAATGGCGGTTAAAAATTTAAAAATGTTGAAAAATTCATGTTATTTGCTATTAAAACGGACATGAAAAATAAATTTTTCATATACAAAAATAGGTACTCTTGAGAAAATTTTAAATAAAAAATTCAAATATCAAGATATCGAGAGTATAATATCTTTTAAATTAATAGTATTAAAGTTTACTATTACAAGGACTGATATTAATTTGTGCGCTCAAACACAATGATATAACAAATGGTAGAGGTACTATTCCACGAAGGCTCTTTCAATAACTTCAATAACTTCATACAATATATATATATATATATATATTAGGTGCGCAACTAAGTTCTCGCTGTTATTTTGATGCATTTTCGTCAAAATAACAGCGAGAACTTAGTTGCGCACCTAATATATATATAATGTATACAAAATATGCAATGACATTTTTACTAAGAAATTGTTTTTGCTTCTGTACGAAATCGATTTGTATATTACGTACGCTTATTTAATATCTGAATGTATCACAAGATATCAATTCAGTAGCGAAATTAATATGATTATATTAGTATATCATATACAAATCGATTTCATATAGAAGCAATAAAACAATTTCTTAAATAAGTAAAAATATCATTGCATATTGCGTAAATGATATTTTGTGATCTTGAAGTTGCCTTCGTGGAGCAGTTTACTTGTCATATCATCATGCCTGAGCGCATAAAATGTCAGCTCCGTGATTAATGAAATTTAATCGCTACTAGTTTAAAAAGTCTCGACATTTTCGTATTCGAATTTTCGACTTAAAATTATCTCAAGAATACGTCCTAAAAGGAAATATGGTAGAAACGGAACACCCTGTGTAGATACATAATGCGATATACATGTATGGAAACAAGTTCTAATATATAGGATGAATTACCTAAGATCGGCCATCCGAATAACACTCATACTTTTGGATATAGGAAAAAATGTTTCAGATGAAAGTGGAACGGTTTCAAGGGAGATGTGTTTTGGTCATATTGTTTTTCTTCTAGGTGGAGGCTTCAAAAAGATATGAAGGTCATCTCTACTTTTTTTAAATATAATTGTATGATTTTTTTTACGTAATATGATTCCTCTAATTATTCTGCATATAAAAATATTAGAGTAGAAATATCAAAAAACCAATAGTTTACGATATTTTATATTTTATTCTGACAAAAAAATATGTGCAAAATGGATTTTTTAAAATAAACAATGTGTTTTCTTTTCACCAATTGATTTATTATTCTTTTCGTAAAAGTATTAAGATACGATAAAAAAATTAATAGTTTACGAGTTATTTAACATTATGTCAATATATGTCACAATAAAGTATAAAATATCTCGTAAATTATTGGTTTTTTTATATCTCTACTCTAATACTTTTATATGCCGAATAATTAGAGGAATATATATCATATTACATAAAAAAAATTATATAATTCCATTTAAAAAAATGAAGGTGACCTTCACATCTTTTTGACGCCTCCATCTAGAAAAAAGACAACATGTCATGAAAAAACATTTTCCTTGAAATCGTTCCACTTTCATCTAAAACATTTTTTCCTATCTCCAAAGTTGTGAGTGTTATTCGGGTGGCCAGCCTTAAGTGACTCCCCTGTATGTGTAAAATAAAGTTTGTAATGTTACGTTTGTATTTCAACAAAGGATTGCAAAGAATTAAAAAATGTTTATTTTTAAAGACTTGCATAAACACATTTCTCTGTGATTGAATCTCTTTCTGTTCCTTAAATTATTTAATTAATTGATTTTTAATTGTTGTATTGTGTCATTCTGAATTTTTTTCTTTTTCTTTTTCTTTTTGATTCAAATCCATCTAAGGAGTGTTCCAAAACTCGACTATATCAACCCGAGTATCATTTATTATTCTTGTTTAAAGATAACTTGTTGAAAGATACTCCGAGTTGAGAACAGACTTGAAAAATTTCTCATATGATAAAAACACACAAATAAAATAGTGGCCTAAAAAAGCAATAATTGTGTCTAGTAAGAAGTATATATCGGATCTTGCAAGAGATGATAATATATTAAAAAAGGAACAAGAACAAGACGTTTGAATAAGACGGCGAATGATAATGTAAGAATTAACTGAGTTTGGGGTTAAAAAGTTTATTATTAACATCAGTTAAGTTTGGTCATAGCATTTCCTTAAATGTGTTATGGTCTTTATGAAACACACTGTAATATTTTTGATTTTTTTTAATACATTATATTGGAAAATAACAATTCAGAACAATACCAAATAATAGTTTTTTAATATATATATATATATATATATATATATATATATATATATATATATATAAAACTCTTACTTATAATGCATTGATTCGAAGTCAGTCTCACTTTACCAATACTTTATTTTGAGACTTTACCAATAGCCATAACCTAGTCCATCACCAGATTGGTGGTAAGTATGATAATGGGGATGGCTGTGGTAGTGATACTCATAATTGGGATAGTGGCTATGATAATGGTTATGTCCATATCCTCCATATCCTCCATATCCTCCATATCCTTCATATCCTCCATATCCTCCATATCCTCCATATCCTCTATGTCCTCCAAAGCTAAAACAAATACAACATTTTCCTTGACACTTTCATTCTAATATCTTTAACGGACTTTCGATATAATTAGACTAATATGAAATCCGATATAGTTAGACTAATATGAAATCCGATTAGCATCACGTAAATTAAATTAATCCTCGTGCGTGTAAAGTGGATCTTTTAATTAAGGAACAGTAAAAATTTCAAGTAGCTGTAACATTGCAATAGATTATAGAGGGGATCGAAGAATTTAAAAAAGTAAATAGGATATTACAGACTCGACCGTAATGGTTCTCGTCAATTTGCTGCGGTACTGCGATCCTGCGAGCAAGTAAAGTCACGAGCATTCCGTGAAATCAATGAACAGTCCATTAATCCACTAATCGAAAAAGGAATCTTCGGTATATTTTATTAATTTGTACTTTAATCAAATATGGAAATATGCGAAACAATTAATTTATCTCGACTTTAGCTCGAAAAAAAGTTGTGACTTCTTGACTTGTTTGACTTCTCTTTTAATCACGATTTAATGTAGTTGTAGCGAGAATGCAGGAATTTTTATACTTATATTATATTTATAGATACATCTTGATTTATAAACTTGACGTAAAATCTTGTCTTCCTTTACTTTAGATATTCCATCTTTTTAAGTATACAAGTTTCCTTAGACATACTTAATTGACTCACTATTTAGCACCGCCAAGAACTCCGGCACCGAGAACTCCGGCACCTAAAGCTCCGGCACCCAAAGCTCCGGCACCCAAAGCTCCGGCACCTAAAGCTCCAGCACCGAGGAGGGCACCACCTAAGAGGGCCTTTTTCAGAAGTAGCGCTCTTTTGTTACGCGATTGAGTTTCGGTTGATACTGCTTCGGTTGACACTTCGCTTGATACTGCTTCCAGTTTTAGCGGTGGAACTTCCGATGATACCGCAGGTGCAACTAAGGTCCGTTGCAGATTCTGACCGTCTGCAACGGTGTGAGACTCCGCTTGAACGTAGATTACAGCCAACATGATAGTTAGCATCACGATGTATCTTATCGCCATCTGAAAAAATATAGAAAATAATATTCTCTTGTTATTTGTCGATCTCTCATAAACTCGATCAGTACAATTCGTATTGTATGTACACTTCTATTTCTATAGTGCACGCTTAACTCCGCTATATTACCGTTATTTTGTTATAAATATATATATATTAAACTACGATAATACGACAATGATGTCATAGTCAGATCATTTAATATTTCAGTTCATTTTTTATTAAATATTCTACCAAATACTGAAAAACATAAGTAACGATCGAGTTACTATTCCCATAATTCTGATTTTATATCCTATCTCATTTCTAGGTAAAAGGATAATAAGGTCAGTTTTCGGCTCTATTTCAATTTTTAATTTCTTTTTGAATTATTGGAATTATCGGTTTTATTATATATTGTATTATATATTGAATTATCGAAATTAAGTGATTTTTTATCTTAAACGTATTTGATATCTGTTATCTTGTAACTAGTCAGCTCCATTTTTACCATCAATACTCCTAATCTTTTATCTATCTTTTAGACATGCACGTGTTATTTGGAAAGTTTTTCTACCCATACTCCAGGATCAATGGCATAGACTTGATGCTTCAGAAATCGATCTGAACTGTGTCACACGCCTACTGTCCTTACAATTACTTTTTTTTCGGTAATGCGGATGAGCAACATCATTACATTTCTTTATTTTTAACGTTAATAACGCAATTTCATTTTACCATCTTTATGTCCCTCTCGAAGTAACAAAACTTTTGGCGAAGTAACAAAACGTTTCTTCCTAAAATGCACTGTTCAAGAGACATTTCAGGTGATCAATTAAAATGGGACACCCTGTATATGTATGAAACGTACATATAAGTTTTAAAAGAAAGAAGTCTATATATATTTGACCACTTGTAATTAATTATTCTAAATAGCAAGATGGTCATAACAATAATTTAATTTTTCATTATTTAACATCGTAGATTAAATAATAAACATGTAAAATAAATATAATATTTCTGACGATAAATTATAAAAATATCATGCCATGTCTTAACACCGCCTTAGAAGACACTACCGTCTTCAGATATTATCATTTTCATCGAACTTATATTTAATAAATAAATAATAAATAACATTATTATAATTATTACTTTTTTAAATTATAAATTTATTATTTGTTCGTCTTCAAAACGTCTTTTAGACGATTTTTATAGTATACCCAACAAACGAGAATGGATTGAAATGAATTGAAATGGATTCAGATTTTCAGAAATATTGATTCACGAATGTTAAAAGGAATGCTTTCCAATCCTGAATGCATTTTTATTCATTTATAGGAATTGCATGTAGCATATCTCTATGCCTTTCAATCTAAAAATAATATTAACTTTTTCTGTGTGAGTATTGAATACTGTTCAATTTAAATTTTGTATAGGAAATACAGTTTTTCAATCCAATTGCATCCAATTAAATATAATTAAATCCAATTGAATCCAAAAAAAAATATTCGCTATTTAAAATACGGATAGAAAAAAATTTCGATCTATTTTAATCCATTCTCGTTTACTGGATAGGCGAATTTGAACATACGGGATTCTTTTTCAACTGACAAAAAGTCTTGTCCCTTGAAAAGTTGATTAAGTTTGATTTATGTTTTTATTCTCTTGTTTTAAATAAGGGTATGTAACGTACCTTGCTGAGATCACGTTTTCGAACAAAGACTGACTCTTCTTGGAGCAGTAGATCCAAAGACTTTTATACGATGAGATTGGACTTGGTCGCCCCTACCACAAGAAACTTCTAAACATTCCACGTTCTTACTAATTCTCTCATATACCCATATTTTCCATTTGGGTATATCTTTCTCGAGGTCACACTTAATTGTCGGAGCCAAATCGATCGAAGATTCGTTTCCTTACGCGCTGACATTGAACAGTCTAGCGACTCGACAGGAATTTCGAGCGTAAAGTTGTGCTACCGACCAAATTATCATTTTTCTCATATCCATTTAAGTTTTAGACGTCGCCCATTAATTTCTAGAATCAATGTTACCCAGCAAACGAGAATGGATTAAAATAAATTGAAATGGATTCAGATTTTCAGAAATATTGATTCACGAATATTAAAATGAATACTTTTCAATTCTGAATGTATTTTTATTTATTTATAGGAATTGCATGGAGCACATTTGTCCTTTCAATATAAAAATAATATTAGCTTTTTCTGTGCACACGAACACAACTGTGAATACTGATCAATTCAAAATTTTGAATAGGAAATGCAGTTTTTCAATCCAATTGCATCCAATTGAATCCAATTGAATCCAAAAAAGTATTCGCTACTTATATAAATATATATATAAAACGCATTCGGATAGAAAAAAATTTCAATCTATTTTAATCCATTCGCATTTGCTAGGTATGCTCATATTGCTTTATTTGTTAATATTGCGGCTTTATTCATTTGTGAATTACAATAGTGAATCATATTATATAGGATAATTTTGAATGATTGACATGGCATTCGTATTATCAATCAAAAATACAAAAATAGAAATTTTCCTTCCACAGAGATGATCCTCCGCGTAAAAAGATACTACATTATATATAGATATATATTTTTTAAGAACAAGAATCTGTTAACAGCATATATGTGCCGTTTGCATACTTTAAATATCTATGCTATGCAGAACACATGTGAAAAGCTTTAATAGCTTTTTATTAAATCGAAATTAAAATTTATAAAATTTTGATGAAATAAAACTTATATATGAAATTAATATTAAAAAATATTTTTTTAAATGTAATTGAGAAATTAAAAAATTTATATTTTGCTTCGATGTCTCTCTGTCATTACTTTTTGTTGTTAATGTTAGTTGCAATAATAATGATTTGTTAAAAAATAAATGTAAATAGGGAGAATTTGAAGTGAGAAAGTGAACGAATTTGCGACGATCAGTGTGAAAAAATAATGTTCATCGCGCTATGTTCATTGCGACCTTGGTACATTCAAACAGGTGCGTCTCCATTTTTTTACGTAATGCATAATAAATGCTAGATAGAATTAACATAAGAATGTACACAGGGAATTCCGAAACATTTTATCCGATATATATATATATATATTATATATGAAACTACATTTATAATACTTTTACTCTTTTAATTTGATATCAGTAAACTTATATGTGAAAAAGTAAAAATTATGTTTTTTTTTGTAATTTAATTTTCCTGCAAAATCCATTGGGGTATATATAATTTATCTCGACAGTCAATATTTAATAATGTTTATAACAATTTGTCATAAAATTGATTTTTAAAATTATATCAGAAATATTTTAATTTCCATGCTTCAATTCTATTTTTAATTACTATTTTTTGCTTATTACTTCTCTAGTGGAAAAAATTTGTTGAAATTTCGCGAAAATGGTTTTAAGTTTTCGAATATTTTTCAATGAAATTTCAATGAAATTTCGGAGAAATAAATTAATTTATCTAATTTTACTAAAAAATAATATTGATTAGCATATTCAAGAATACGATTAAAATTATCATTAAAAAAATAGAAACGTTTCTTCCTGAATTCGGGAATTAATTTTATGATGTTCTCACACAAATAATCATCTATTTTAATGCTGATTACATTAATTATATACGGCGGGAGCTAGAGTCCTATATATAGATTCGACATCGAATCCCCACCACCAGATCGGATCCCTCCCATCACCTGCGTCATATTTGACCCGCTCCAGTGTCGTAGTAATGCCCATTTGCACCAACGTAGATTGATTTTAACCTCTCTTCGACTTACTCTTTGTCTTTTTCTAATCTTTAGAATATTTATAAAAACTAACCTAGTTAAGCTGATTTAAACAGAGAAAACTGTCTCTTTTATGGCTCCTGCACACAGAACGCGGCAACGCTTGCCGCGCGGCGGAAGTTATCGTAACCAATAATTCTATATTCTTAAATCGGCCTCATCATGCAAAACATCTAGAAATGATGTAATATTAAATGTAAATTATATATCTATTACTTCCGACCAAGTGAGATGTTAATTGGCTATCGTGCCAACTTCCGTCGCGTGGCAACCGTTGCCGCGTTCTCTGTACAGGAGCTATTGGATCGAGTTCAACTTTGTCGCGCGGTGAAAGTTATATATCTATTACTTCCGAGCAAGCAAGACGTTGATTGGCTATCTCGCCAATCTTTCGTTGCGCGGCAAGTGTTGCTACCTTCTATGTGCGGGAGTCAAAAGTTACATGATCGCTATCCTAATTGGCTGCTGCTTTTTCGCTTTCCGCTTATCCGTCAAGGTGTAAACGCCCCGGCAGGCGTTCCATGAGCAGAAATTTACAGCGGAACGGAACAGCGAGATCAATCACAATCACAAAAAAGTAAGCAGAGTAAGGCCGGAATCAGACTACGCATTGAAGATTGAAATTAAAGATTAAAAATTGAAATTTCACTAATGAGGACAAAGAAATTTTGGCTCCTTTTGTTCTGATTAGTCAAACTTCAAACTTTTAATCTTCAATTTCATTTTTCAATACATAATCTGATTCTGGCCTAATTACTGCAGAGTTGTGATTGGTCGCGCCATTTTGTTCCGCTGTAAATTTCCGCAGTTTAAAGGTAAATTTTTATGAGCAAACCGGCTGCTTCAGCGATAAAAAAGAATCACGTCAAAATTGGCAAATATCAAGCGTCCAATTTGATCACGTGATCCTTTTTGTCGCTGAAACAGCCGGTCAGAGCTCGTAAAAAATTTAAGGTCGGAATCAGACTACGCATTGAAGATCGAGATTGAAGATTAAAGATTGAAATTCAACCTATAAGGACAAAGGAATTTTAATTCTTATTGTTTTGATTAGTCAAATTTCAATCTTTAATCTTCAATCTCATTTTTCAATGCGTAGTGTGATTCCAGCCTAAGCCATTGGTTTTATAATCCATCTTGCAAACGACATCATTATTAATATTTTTTCTAATATTTTTTCAATTCTTTTGCGATACTGACATAAGTCGATCGACTCTTTTCTGATAAATCTGGGCTCTAGGCGTGGAAATGTTTGCTACACGTAAAAAATGCCACCCGGCAAAATGCAACGTGGTAACCAATGAACATGTTAGGAGTAAGCTTATTGGCTACCGCGTCGCATTTTGCCACGCGGCAAGCGTTGCCATGTCAGGTATATGTATATATATTGTATATGCACATCCGTAAAAAAGCCATAAATTGAGCTGTATAAACGTAATACATGATGTACAATTATGCATTAAAATGATTAATCAAATGCTCATATCATACATGTATATATACATATATATATATATATATATATATATATAATATATTATACAATATATTGTATTTACACATATCGCTAAAATTAAGTTAATTCAGTAGAACGTTACTAGTTAGTACCTATATATCAAGTGCACGATGTAAACTAGGCTAGAATTTTGAATTCTCCAATGATCTCTTTCTCTAGTCCATGGTGTCTATGGTCTATCGTTTACACGAGTTGATGCAAGTCGATGCAAATCGATGCGAAATAGTGCGGGATCATTACTTGTGTGAAAGTGGGATTGTGTTACGTCTAAATAAGAATAGAAATATATCTCGCGGAAGAAATATATATCGCATCAGGAAGAATAATGTGCAACACGCATGCGACTTTTTTTCGTCAGTAAACGGTTGTACAATTGGGTGCCATATTGCGTTTCAACATTTGGGTTTTGGTTTTCGACGGATCTCGATAAGACAGAAAAAAGGAAAGAGAGAGAGAGAGAGAGAGAGAGAGAGAGAGAGAGAGAGAGGGGGGGGAGAGCTAAAGCAGCTTGTATCATTACTTTGATCTTGAACGAAGGCGCATCCTCAAGGGACTCCGTACAGCCTTTATCGTATTATTTTTACATCATCATGGGCGAATCTGACCGCAAAGAGACGGCACATCGATGGTAACGATACTGAATGGTACTCAGTGTAGTGTGAACAATAGTGACTCGCGTTCGTGTCGCTCTGTGTATACGACGTGCGGATCTCCAACGAAGATTGCGGATCTCGCAATTTGTTAGCAGTAGCGACAGTCAGCTGGAGAGAAGGGAGAACCGATTTGTGCTAGCGACTGATTTGTCTTCGTGAGCCTCATCCGTTGCGCTCGCCATGACGTTGCTGTGAAATCCGTATCTTATCTATAATATCAATCCCGATGTTGGCCATAGGATTGTGCCAATGTAACTTTCGTGCTTTTAACGTGGTGGAGAGAACCCGGGGCGGCGGCGGTGGCGGCGGCAGCGGCGGCAGCGGCAGCAGCGGAAACAGCGGCGGCGGTGGTAGTAGTGTCGGCTGCAGCGGCAGCGGCGACAGCGACAACGGCGACGTCGGCGGCGACGGCGGCGGCGGCAACTCGTGGATACCGAAGAAAGCTTCAAACGCGTTTGAAGCTTTCGAGGTCGTATTCATGGAACTATGAACCTGGACTCGTTGTCTTTTACTTTGTCACAAATCAGTTATTTGGTTGCGAATTTGAGTAAAAAAAATTTCGAGGACATCTGTCAAGAGATATCGGATGTGAGTAACAAATTGATCCTGGAAAAGAAGTTAGAAAGCTTTTTCACCTTTGTCTTTCCCCCTTATACCTATGCATGTCTTTCAAAAAATTTTCTACAAATTCTCTCTTCACCCTTCTACTTCTAACATTGATCATAATTCTCACAAAGTGGTATGTTGATATGCCTTTGACTTCCTTCAGTCAGTAAGCCTGTTTCCTTTTTAGCTCAACTTTTACACCAGTTTTTCTTCCTTTTCTCTCCAGGACAAAAGAAGGAGATAAAAGATGAATTGATGCAAAAATTCAACTAAAAAGAAAGAACATGCCTAGTAAATAGATTGAACATTATATACGCTCACGGAATAACGTGGAAATTATATAGGCGAGCATGTGAAATTATGTGTTATTCACGTCATTTTTTTTAAATGCTTGGCCAACCAATATCTGTCTAGTTATCTTCTTACCGTATCCTTGCGACATAATCTTTTTTTGTGTGTGTGCGTGTATGTGCACGCGCGCGCGTTGTATACTAATGTAGTGTTTACTTTAATTCTATCTTAACCTCATAAGCAGATCTCTCTATTCTTTCATTCTGACATATATTCTGTTCTTTGTTACCTTTTTTATTACTATTTATCAAGATTTCTTCTAAACTTTTAATATCAATTTATTATAAAATACAGTTAAATGTTAGATCAGTAGGTAACAAATAAACAAATTACAAATGTATATTGTATTATGGATATGTTCCACTTAACGCTTGTAACGTTTATTTTATTCTTATTCAATAAATGTTAAAACAAGAACAAATGCTCGCGAATGTTGTGAGCGCCAAATGGAACACATCCTTTGTATCAAAGTCGTCAAAGGTCAAACAGTTATCGACTAATTCTCATATTTCTGCAGTTGGTGCAGTGTGGTGGTCTAGAGGCAGATCGACATTTGTTCCGCTGTCTGATATCGTGCGTTGACTTTTCCAAGGGTGAGCTGTCAGATTCGAGTGCGAAAGATTATTTTCAAACAAAGTTGCTAAAACAGGAGTGCAATAGCTTGTTGAGCAAACCTTCATTTATATCTACTTTGTGCTTTGCTATAGATAATCCTTTACATCATCAAAAGGTACATTATGAAACATTATTACTATTACTGTAAATAGGTTATACATTTACATAAGATGATCTATATATTTTTTCAGTCATTGAATTTCTCTCCAAAGTTTTTTACTAATTTGAAGAAAACACTTGGCTTGACTTTGGTACAAGAGGTCACGTTTGCGATTGCATTACAGCATTCAGAAAACGCTGAAATTCGTGCTTCAGCCTTAGAGCATACTCAAAAGCAGCTGCCTGAATTGATAAAGAATTATATAAACTCTGAGACTAGTAACAAGCATCAGGAAGGTGGTTTGCACGACTCTTTGCCTCAGGTCCTTCATTTGATACTCAGCCAAGCTTTCCATACTGCCAATCCATACAATTTACCTGTGGAAACAAAAGAAAAATTTCTTAAACATTTGCGACGTGACTTTCCTCGTGAACTAGTACCAGTGGTACTAGCACCATTCTTGTATCCAGCAGACGAGGAAACTCTGCAATTCAAAATTGAATTAAACATGGCCGTCACTCAAATGGTAAAAATATTATTTATTTTGTTGAGGTTTGATAGATTGCAATACATTTATATTCTTTCATTTTAGGATAGCAACACTCTTGTAGAGTTGATTATGGAATTAGGATACAGCTTTACTAGTAATATAGAAGAATGTCGATCGGCGTTAACAGGTTTAGGTGCTAGGGAGATATCCCCAGCATGTGTTGCTCGTGTATTGTCACAAATGGCACGTAGCTGTAGCAACCTGGATGATGCTGGAGGCCTACAAACATTTTGGGGCAATTCAACTACCTCGCAAGACTCCAATAAGGAGAAATCATCGGACAGTACTATTCCCACAACATGGAACATTGAAGTATTCGTCCTAACATTGAAAGAGATAGTAAGTTTAGGATATGTCTAGGATATATATGTATAAGATTTATCTTTTTTAATCCTATATTTTAATTTTAATTCTGTATTTTTATGTTCTAAACTAGGCCTGTTCTTTTTAGCTCAATTTTTGCACCGGTTCTCTTCCTGAAGAGAAAAGGAAGAAAGATAAACTGCTGCAAAAGAACATGCCTATTGATAGTTTCAATTATACATGATGCAGTTTTTATTAATATTATCTTTTTACATTCCAGCAATCTACATTATCTTGGAACGAGGTCATCGTGAAATTGGATCATGCAGAATTCCTTATTAAGGATAGGCAAGGTTTAAACTTGTTGATCACAGGTCTCAAATTGGGTTTACAACATCAGGGATATCCACCCGATATGTTTCCTGTTGAGCTTTTGTATCGGCACTGGGAAAATATAGAAGGCCAATTTTCTTTAATTCAGCAAATCCTTAAGTGCCCAGACATATTTTGTTTCGCTGATTATCCGTAT